TGAAGGTGACCTATGAGGTGGGCACTTGAATAAGAGAGTGGGAGTAGGCCAACGGACTGAGCGCTAGAGCTCTGCGAGGCAGAATGGGTGTGGTAGTACTGAAGGTGCGGTAGTAGAATATCCAAGGTGTCGTAATGTTGTAGATTCCCAGAGGCCTACCTAGCAAGTAGTATAGATTGTCATTTGTAAAGGTAACCGAAATATCTTTGTCTTAAAGTGAATGAATCCACCGGAATTATTTTTTTTGCAGACAACTCGAAACAAATCAAGACCGTAAGTGGATCAATGGAAGGCCATGGCAACAAAATCACTCCTGTGAATGAAACCACTTCTTCACAGGTTCAATTGCTCTAACTGATCTTCCATTTATTGGTTGACCTGCTTTGTTTATAGGCGAATAGTCTTCAGAATGGTAATGCCAAGTTGGAAACGAATTCAACGCAACCTGAGAAGGTCATCAATGTGCCACCTTTGAGCCTTGACAAAGTAATCAATAGCTCTCGTTATTATCTACGGAATCTTTTTAAACCCTCCGCTTATTGTAACGGTTTAAAGGAATCCTTCGCGGAAAATTCTTGCATTCTTTCTTGACATGAATGTGTCAGTTGTGATCACTGGAAAAGCACGCATGAAGATTCGGTTTCCGAAGAGAAACAAACGTACAAAAACTACACTCTATGGACAATCGAAGGTAAAAGGGGCGGAGCCAAAGGCGAGGCATGGAAAGAAGTCCGCCTTGGGCGGCTACGTATCAGGCGACGCAATGAAAGAATCGGGTTAAAGCGCGCGATTTTGGAGAGTAGAGACAAATCGATCGATAGAATAGGATGGAGTAGAAGTGTGAGATGTGAATGCAATAAAGCAGAAGGCCAGAAAGAGTTTCTAGTGAAGGCACTCCAAGAACCAAGTGGAAGCATCCCCGTCGCCAGCATTTGTGACAGATGTCCGGCGGTACTTTGAACGCGTAGCAGCCCTTCCGGTTTTTTTTTGAATTTTCTATTTTCTTTTTTAAATTTTTAATAGAATCATGATTTTCCCGTGAAGGATTCCTTCAATCCTTTGACGATGCGAGTTTGCACGTAGCGTGCTCGTGGGACCACGCCCATTTTGGCGCGCCCAACTTTCGCTCAAAATCAGGCAAAATGGTCCCTCAAGGCAGTTTTTCCATCGAATAGTCGGCCTTGCTGATGTACTAGATATAACTACAGTTCTAAGCTTGCGTATTCTGTTTTGTTGTGAAAAAATGGCAGGTCCGGAAGGGCAGCTCGGGTTGTAAGGAGTGAAGGATAAAAACCCTATAACTTAAAGTTTACTATGGATGTTTCGATAGATTCTAAATCCTTAGTGTGTGCAACGACTAGAAAGCTGGAGAAGCCTTGATAGGTGATTAGTCTTTAGCATAACCATGCTAAATTCAATAACTATGCCCAGTGAGCTAAATACTATATTCTGAAACTTTATACAAAAAATCTCGACCTCCTATAAGCCACGCTAGAAACAGATACTAGGAATGCTTGCTAATATTTGCTGGTATGTTAAAAATGATTTAATTAGGCAAAGAAGAAAATTTAAGGTGGCACCCACCATTGGGTGCCATTGTCCCACGCGCCAGACACACCCTACCGGTTGGTGCCGTTTTCGCCAAATGGTTAATGCATGCAGAGCGTGCTTTTTTCACAAGAGAACTTCACGCTTTCATGATCAACAGAATGTTTTGCCTTCGGAAGGTTCTCGTCTGCTCTATGAAACATCATGGCTCCTCTTTATATTCATCGTGAATAGGTTGATTTCCAGACTTGCAAAATAGGAGGCTCAGTCACACAAAAATGAGCCAATAATATCGCGTACTTATTCTATTTTTTACAAATAGAGGCCGCATAGTTCCTGTTTTTGTGATTTCAAGGATGTTGCATTTCCTGAGAAGTCATATTTCAAACAGTTTGGAAATGATGCAAAGCAATCCGAAAATATCTCTGAAAGTAGCCGACGGCATTTTTAAACACCTTGGTTCAGCTTTCCGTCACCTCTGCGGATGAGCAACCGTTGGATCTTTCATGGCCAGAAACTTCGTCAAAACGGCTGATATACGTGCTATTGGCGCCAATCACATTTCCACTATCGATTACACTCCCGGATGTTAGAAAACCGGTAAACATTTACATGTTTTCAAGATGACTAATTTGTCCTCGGGCGATTTCAGTAATGGCTAGAGAAATACATATAATAAGTGCCGACATATCGCTGTGCATATGGTCATTGATTTTGATATGTGAAAAAATGAAGTCGCGATCAATCTGGAGATAGTTGTTCAAGTTTTCAGATAGTGTGCAGACGGTATAGCTGGTGTCAGACTTTCATCCAGCGATACGCCAACGATTACGGGTACGAGCGTTGCACCAGCGGATCGAACTATGTGCCAGCGACTCGACACTGTTCAAAAGTGGCGGGACTCCCTCGCATGCAATCCCATTTGCAGATGCTTTCCGAGCGCTCATGCCCTCGTGTGCCCGGGAAATCGGCGAGAGCAAATGTTTAAAGGGAGCCCGCCACTTTCAAACAGTGATGTGTAGCGTACGTCCTTCGATTTGCTGGTACACAGCTCTATTTGTTGGTGCAACGCTCGAATCCCGTAATTTGCCTAATAGCTGAATTCGCAGTCTGACACTGGTCTACAGTGGAGGATGTGCTCCATTTAGAGGCCATGATCAACCGCCAGTCGGTGTTCTGGTATTTTACCATCGGATCGTCATATGAGTGGATTTTGGAATTGAGAAGTTGCATGTATATGCGGTTTTTGGGAAAATCATGAGGTTGCACTGGGAAGGCCGTTGATAAATATAAATTTATGGGATTCACCGACTGAGCATAAACGCTTAAATGTGATTACTACGACGCGATCAGAAGAAATTCAAGGCAAGCCTCAGGACAAAATTGGTGTGTAAAAGTGCTCAATAAGGAAGGTGGAGGTAAACAGTAGCTTGAAAGCGAAAAAAAGCGAATGAAACAATTGCAAGCACTTAAGTTAAGGATCCAAAGTCTCTGTGAGGTCTCTTGTGATAGACAGAGAGACAGCGACCAGAGAAGTCAGACCACGCGAGAGAGCACGCCATACGAGATGGCACAGATATGCGGTTATAGCGCCGCCTCGAAAACCTACCGGCAACCCAGCACCATTGTAAAGATCCTTCATGCCTTGTCAATGGCGCATGGATGACATTCGCAGACCTATTAAAAGGATCACTCCGATGGTTTTATCCTACCTCTGAGAGGACTTCTTGAGATCGATGATCTGTGCGTGATAAACGGGCTGCAAAGCGGACACTCCTTCTTAATCATTTATATTCTTCCACCGCTCGTCTTATCTCTGATGTCGTTTCAGTCATGGAAATCTTGGTTTGCTGTGACATTCATTGGTTCCGTATTGTGGATTGCATTATTCTCTTATTTAATGGTGTGGTGGGCAAATGTAATTGGGGAAACTTTTGGTATTCCCACAGAAGTAAGTACTTAATTATCTATTCTGACTAATAGTAGGAAGAAGAACGTCCTTCAATTAAGACCTTTCAGAGTGTGGGGCGATTTTTCAAAACGGTTTCTTGCATCTTAAAAAGAACTCATGACTAAACTGCTATACCAAGTTTTGCTGAGCGTCTTCGGGAAGGCCAAAAAATTGTAGAGAAATGGCCCAAGCAACAATGCCCCAGATGATCAGATCAGAATCCGATGGAAGCCATCCACACCACACAAGTTTTTTAGATTCAATTTCTCTTGGCTTTCAGAGGCCGCTCAGCGAAAATAAAGCTCAATCTTGCGATTCGTACTGCATGCGAGAGACCATATTGAAAAGAAAATGCTCCACACCCTGGAAGACCTTTGTTGTGAGGATTTGTGCACGATGACTAAAATGTTATGATAGAAAATTTCAGATAATGGGGCTCACGATACTTGCAGCTGGCACAAGCATTCCTGACCTGATCACTAGGTATGTGGAATCCGTTTGATGCTGAAGCTGAGCGGATTAAGCGCCGAGAAAAGCAAGAGCAAAGATACCTATCTAATTAAAATCGAGGACTGACACTTACCTTCAATGACTGTTCCGACTCGGGAAGGTGTTCCTGCTTATTTTAAAAGGACCAGGTTAGCTCCGGCACGCAACCGCGCGCATCACATGGTAGGCTTAGTGAAACTGGACAACTTGCTGAATATTAGGTCACGCGGCTTAGAAATCAACAGTAACATGTTTGGAAGATGTGTCACATGAATTTCAAAGGCTGTCAATTTTTGCTAAAGATTGTAGCGTAATGCGCGCAGTAGCATGCGGAATGAAAATTGCACTTATCATGACTTCGTAAACATTTAGCATTGATATCGAGCTCGGGTGATTTAGCGGTTTATAGAATTTCCACAATTGAAGAATCGGTGTGTAAGTGAAATATAACCAATCAATCAGCATCTAACCGAGCTATGATGGAACATATTCACGTGCTAGGGACCTGGTTTAGTTCAATGAGTGCACGCTCAACTGTCGCTACTTTTATCAGTACAGTTGCCGCTCATACCACTTTCTGTCACCTACATTCAACCCTCGCCACCTTGATCGCTTGCCAGTGATAATTGCAACGAAGTTGGAGAGACCTGCATTCAAACGCTCTTATCATTCCTTGTCATTTGTTATCAGTTCATACTGTTCGCAATCGGTGTCCCGGTCCCAACCTCCACGCAACGTGTAGGAGCTAATATTTACTGTCACCACGAAGGCTGCAACGAAATTAGCAGTTTCAAAATCCTAATTTCCCTATCAACCATTATCGCTTGTTATCACTTCTGATCATCCATATCCGTGTTCCCGTCCCATCCCCTATACCACATGTGAGAGCCAAGGCTTCCAATGTAACTGCGAGGGCCGCAACGAAACTGGTGGTATCCACACTTTGACGCCCCTTATCAGTGGCTACCACATTCGTTCACTCAACTTCTTGGTCCCCGCCTCACCACTACAGGGTGGATACCATCGAAGTGCAAACTCTCCACCAGTCAACGCGAACGGTGCAACGAAATTGGTGACATCAACATTTCGACGTCCGTTATCAGCTCCTATCAGTAGTTATCACTTCCCGCCACCCGTCATCAGTGTTCACCTCCGGCCCCCTATATATCCTAGAAGTTTGAGCGCTCTGGGTCCAAAGGGGGTGAAGTTATGAATTTCCGGTCAGACACACGACACCGGCTTAGCATGGGTAGTATATAGTAGGAGGGTTGGTGCAACTTGAAACAGCGTACACTGGTTTGAAGGCGGTAAGACGCATCGCGAGGCAGATCTAATTTGGTTTTCATCAGTGCATAAGGTTCCGCATGAAAGTTGCGATTTGGCGAAAGTCATGAAATAACGGATACTGTGCGATCGTGTGTTGAAGTATCCTTAAATAATGCTGACTAGAGCGTTGAGAGGTACGGAATAACACATCAGATAATAGTTTGTTGATGAAGACTTGTAACCAGCGGGAGCGCTTCACAATTGTGGTTGGGGTCAGCAATACGGCGAAAACACCTTGTGATGCGATTGTTAGCCCAAAATTTTGATTTTGAACAAAACCGTAATCGAGAAGCAACATTACCATAACGAGAAATTTCTTTTAGTGTGATTGTGGCCAGAAAAGGTCTCGGCGACATGGCCGTGTCCAGCTCGATTGGTAGCAACCTCTTCGACATCTGCGTTGGGTGTGTTGTGTTGATTTCTATTACATTTGATTTAGTGATGGCTACACATTGAAGGCTAAACTCGCAATGGCTGAATACATATACTACGTGAAAAGCGGTGCCATCTGTGCGTCGTAGAGGGACAGAACAACACAATCACGCGGCTATTAGCGTTTCCAGCTCACACTGCCTAGAGATTTTTTGACTTGTTTTTGATGTTAACTGCTGTTCTGGCCCGGCAGTCGCCTGGCGAATGCTTTCACAAGAACGCACATTCAGCTTAACGAAAATTGTTATGTCTGGATCGCTCGTTCATCGGGGGGTGATTCAGTTCGTTTTGCTGGAGGGAATGTTGTTGCTATGATGAAAACATGAAGCAGTGAAACAGCAAACTCTTAACCACTCGGCCATCCAGAGCAAACATTGTTTTGGCGCACTTACGCAGCGTTATACCCAGGAAAGGTTTACTTCACGGCCAAGTCTTCAGCACCCCCTAATTAATTGCCAAGTGTCTACCTTAGTGCGACACGGTTGGTGTGCCTGGATTTCAATTGAATTATTTTTCGCCCCTTCTGACACTCTGAAAATTTTTGGAGTAATTCGTAAGTTCATTGCAACCTTAAAATTTTAAAAAGGAAAAGCTAGCTAATTTTTCGCCAAACTCAGATAAAAAAACACACATCAGAGAAGAGTTATTGCAGGCTTCCTGTTCCATGGCTTCTGTACTTCATTGTCGCTTTGTTTCGAGTTTCAAGTAGTGCCTTTCCGACAGGTAATTTTGGTTGATATTTAGTAGCTTATGATTTCTCTTAAATGACCGCATGCTATTCAGAATCTTAGTTCCATAGAGGATCCCTCGTCCTACCTTTTCCTATGCCTTTTCTAGCTCTAAAATTTTTTTTACAGTGGCTGTGATTTCGAATGGTCTCATATGTAGTGTGGGCATGCTGTTTCTAATGCTTGTGTTCTTGGTAGTTGCTATCGCATTATCACGATGGAAAATGGACAAAGTATTTGGTAAGGATTAAACTGTGACATGTGAAGTCAATCTTTTCTGTTGATCTCTCATTGAGAATTCACAATATCTTCATAGAGAGAACCAATAAAAGGAGGGAGTAGAAGCGGAACGAACTGACTACTGAAAGTGAGATGAGTAGTCAGTGGGAAAGTTAGAAGTATAGAATGTGAGATTGAATTCAAATAAATTTTGAATATAAACAAAATGTCATGAACGGTGACGATGTTAATTGCTGGACAGGTAGGAATGTAGAAAAAAATCAGTCGAGAAAGTTGGCGATGTAAGCGGATTTACACTTTTCAGGTCTCGTGATGATTGTCTCGTACTTAGGTTTCTGCGTGTTCAGCGTTTTTCTAGAAACGGGTCAGATTGTGTGTCCGTTGAAAACTGCTTCGGACATATGCTGAATCCGATCTATGAAGCCTTAGTTTATAATAGTGGACTAGATTTATACACTATTTTTAAGTTCTTCAAATATCTGAGCAGCTCAATATTGTTTTTAGACGATATTTTTTCGGTCTCTTTCCTCTGATCTCTTCTCTACCCTTGTCTTCTTGATTGTCATGACATAGGTGGCGTTCGTTCGTTCACAATGTTTTGGTTCAAATTCGAATAAAAGTTTTGAACGCTCCATTAGATAAACTCAACTAAGACACTTGGGAAATTAGATCACCTGTAATAAACTGTTCTCTAATTAGGCATGCCTTCCTTCCTCTCCCCATTTATTTCACGGAAAACCAATCAGTTGTACGCCTCCACAGCAGGCTCTTTGTGTAGATAAGGAGGAATGCATTTGTAAATGCAGCACTTTCTACCTTTAGAAAGAAGAACAAAGGTAACCAACGGGCAATTATCCACGTCTCGCATTTGGATATGTTAGTTTTATTTACTCTCATCATGTCATACATTTTTGTTTCGATATGTCTCTTATTTTTTTGTTGCACGTTGTATTGAGGACATAAATATCATTGATAGTTGGCCTTCTTCTTGACACAATTGCGATACCTTTGTATTACATTAGTCCAGACTGCACAGAAGCAGACATCACATTAGTTATGCACACGTAGGTGTCTGTGACCTAAGTACATCCATGGATAGGTTGGAGGCAAAAACTTTTCAAGAATTATGCTTGCACATAAATTTGTTTTCTTCCTACGGTCCAACTGATTAAACAATATAATCGCAAATCTGAGCCAAACAGCATATGAAGTAAATTTCGAAAAACACCCCATAATCCTTCTATTTTATAAAGCGCTAACTTTGTGTGTCGGTTTGTGTCTGTATGTGTGTGTGTGTGTGTGTATGTGTGTCCGTCCGCAAAATGAAGTGAGTGAGAAGGAAGCTCATGGGATAAACAAACCGCTAACAAATCGGGTAGCTTACAGGATTTGAGATATCATGTTTTGTAGATAGTTGTGATAACACTCTCAGGGCTATATAAACACCTGCTTAGCACACTTCCGTTCATTCCACATGGTGCTGCAGTGGCAGCTGGAGGGCAGTGGAGAGAGGAAGGGAGGATGAGGAAGGGAAGCGAAAAATCTACCGTCATATCATGATTGTGTCCCTTCTACTGTTTGAAACACCATTGTGTTGCATACGCGTCACTTCCAGAGGTGTTGGTGTCACAGGAGGAAGGGACCATAGCGGAGGATAGAAAGCTTGCGCAGGAAAGGAAGGTCCCGGCGGTTGACGGGGGACTAATCTGGTTAATAAAGCCGTGAAAATGCTTAAGCGCATTTGCTGTTCTCTGCAATATACCCAAGCTTCACCTGGTGAGTGCAACTTACTAATAGAGTGTTTTTTATTCAGAATTTTCGCTTCTGTGTGGATAATGCTTTACAGTGTTTGTAGATTATTGAAGTGTCTTCATCATTCGCTGTGACTGGAAATTATCGCCAATGCTCTTTTCAACTCACGCTATAGGATGTGGTTATGGTAAGGCCGTCCATGTAGAAACAAAAATGCAAACACAATAGAACTGATGTTTTTGAACACATGGGCTGAGTATTCTTTTCAG